TCCCAGGGGGTGCAGCCCTTCAGGCACAGGCTGCCCCAGCGCGGGTCCCCCACGGGGTCACCAGTCCTGACAGCAAACCTGCTCCAGCGGGGGCTCCTCGATCCATGGGGCCACAGGTCCTGCCAGGAGCCTCCTCCAGCGTGGGCTTCCCATGGGGTCACAACCTCCTTTGGACATCCACCCACTCCGGCGTGGGGTCCCCCACGGGCTGCAGGTGTGTGTCTGCCCCACCGTTCCCTCCCTGGGCGCAGGGCACAGCTGCCTCCCCATGGGCTGCACCACGGCTGTGGGGGAATCTCTGCTCCGGTGCCGGGAGCACCTCCTGCCCCTCCTTCTGCACTGGCCTGGGTGTCTGCAGAGTTATTGCTCTCACATATTGTCAATCCTCTCTCCGGCTGCTGTTGCACAGGGTTTTTCCCCCCCTCCTTAAACACATTCTCACAGAGGTGCTACCACTGTCACTGATGGGCTCGGCCTTGGCCAGCAGTGGGTCTGTCTGGGAGCCGGCTGGCATCGGCTCTGTTGGACATGGGGGAAGCTTCTAGCAGATTCTCACAGAAGCCACCCCTGGAGCCCCCCCTCTACCAAAACCCTCCCATGCAAACCCAATACATGGGTGATGCTGGAATCCTTCAGTGGTCTAAAGGTCTGTTATCTTCTGCACTACATACATGCTACTTCTGTGTATATTTATACATGTATTATGTATGCCAGTCCTAATTGAAAAAGTATTCACAAAATATGGTTAAATTAATGCTAAAATAAAATTTAGTATGACTACAGTATCCTTCTAGTAAGGTTACAGATATATTTCCATAACTGTTCTCCTGTTTTAATGATGGATCTTCTTTTCTAAACTGTAAATGCAAGGTTCTTGGAGGGCCTGAGAGGATCTTTTAAAACCTTTACAGTTCTTGCTCTGAGAAATGAAGAACAACATTAATCTAATGTTGTAGAAAGAATTTCTTCAAACTTGATCACATCAAAAAAATTTCTGTAAGACCACTCAGATAACCAGGATTAATTAACTGGTACACTGATAGCCTCGGTCACTTCCTAAAGGTAAGTCTATTTCCAATCCCAGAATCATTGTTACACAGTTCTAAATGTTTCTACCTAAAGTAATAATGAATCTAATTAATCATTGTAAGAACTTGAGGCTATTCATGTGGAAGCTAAGACAGTCTGATTGGTTTGGATTTTTTCCATGGACGACTTCTTCTTTGGACTGATATTAGCAGTAAGGAAGTCATAAGATATTTCAGTCAAATGGATTGCCACAATTATAATTTGTCAAAACTGGCTATGTAAAAGGGCATCGTATTGCTCCCCTTCAAAAGATGTGTATAAGGAGGAGCAAAAAGAAAAGTACTGCTTTCTCCTTGTGTAGAGTAGCAGAGCTTTGTTGCTCAAGGTGTCACACAATAAATCCATTACCTAAACAACTCTCACTTTTCATTTACCTTTGACATTGCAATAGGTGGTTGCCATCTACTGGTCTCTAAACAATAAGGCAGCTTTGTCCAGTGAAACATGGCTCAGTCTACATTTGATTTTGATATTTTGCATTACTGATTAAAAAGAAACACTACAATAAGTATTAGTTCTTCAATATTAAGGTAACACAAATGGAGTATACTCAAGTTGTAAAGTAAAATTCGTCTTCACATCCTTAGGGCTACTTTTATCTCAGCAATAGCTACAAGGACTAGAGAAAGATAATTTAAGGTAAAGGCCAATGTCAGTGGTAAGAACTAGACAAAATATACAGGCAAATATTTTGAAATATTTAATTTTAGGTCCCTGGAGTAGTATTTGGAACACAGTTATGGGCTTGGCTTCTCTGACCCACACTTGGGAGTTACAAATCTGAGAATGGGGATTTAAAATAACCCACAATCTGAGCATGGAGTGGCCAAAGCCATTGCCTGTAACTTTCTTTGGAGGTAGTCACCAATATTATACTCTACAAAATTGTGCAGGGGGCAAGATTTTCTTTTTTAAAATAAAAAGAAAATAACCACCAAGTTGTTTGAGAGGTACTAAAGGTTAGAGAACTCATCCAGAACATCTGGGTTTGATGGCCTTCTCTACTTGAGAACATGGAAACCCATAAATCCACATTGAATACCCTCACCTCCAAAATGCAGGCTTTGAACTGCAATTGCAGGTAGACCTTGGTGCCTGCACTTGAGATACAAGTAGAGATACGTGCTTGAAAAGAGGGAGGAAAGAAATGCTAGGAAAGTGGAGCTCTGAAATAGGTCTTGAGCTCAGAAGAAAAATTTGAGCAGAAAAAAAACACACCCCAGAAGCCCTGTGTGAAAGAGGACTCATTGAGAGGCATGTTCCCAGGAAAGGGGTGCAGTGTAATGTTTGACTCTAAGCCTCGATCTCTCCAGCACATCCTGGCCCTTCTCACGTCTGAGTCCTGAACAGTGCAGCTTTGGGCCTCCACCCCGCTGGAGATGACCTGGACCCACCAGCTCCATTCATGGTGCTCAGTCCCTGTGCCGCCAGGGGCCAGCAGTGCTCGGTTGCCCCCAAGGGACTGGGGCCCCTGGCATGCCTTGCAGCAAAGATCTGGCTGGGATTGTAAAAATGCCAGTGTGAGCTGCAGCAAGCAAAAAAACCCAGTTTGGCTACTGGGAGTAGGACAGGGGGAAAAAAAAAAAAAGCATTTCTGAGGATGCATAACAGCCCTAAACTTAAAACAAGGATAATCACTAAACCGGAGCTTGTTTAATTGTGGACAGTAACTGCCTTTCCCTGACATGTTACAATAGCAGATCTGGCTCAGGGGATTAAGAGGAAATCTAAAAAACAAGAATTTACCATAAACTGAGTTAGTGCTTCCTGTCTGGGTCTGCAGACAGCCTGCAGCCGGGCCGCAGAAGGTGAGCTCCAGGCTTCCCAGTCTTGCTCTGTAAGGGCTTAGCATATTCTGGCTCTGCGACTATTAAAAAATATTTGCTTTTCTTTTACAGATATTCTGTGTGAAAATGTATTGGTATCCCACAGGTCACCAATCAGATACTGAATATTTTGTTTAGTTATCTTACTGTATTCAGGAGGAAGCTACTAGTATCGTACTACACATTCTCTGGGCTGCTCTACTGAGCTGGGCATAGGGCAGTAACTGTCCCACTCTTATATGCTGTGTGGGTGTACTCTTAAATAAAAGAACTGTTATAGAAAATAGGGATGGAATAACACAAAGTAAGAACCACAGTTGAAAAGAAAATAATTACACCTTTCATGAGTACTCATCCCACCCTTGCTTGCAAAGGTCAAGAGTTGTGACTTAAAGTTCAGTTCACAAACATTTCAATTTTATTAAAAATAAAAAAATAATTATTAGAAGGGTTTATAAAAAAACCTAAAAAGATAGTGCTGCTTCTGATATGCTTAGAATAGCATTCTGAAGCTAAACAAGAAAACAAGGATTGCATTTTTACCACTAGACACTACAAACATTGCAAACCAGTACAACCAAAGAAGATCCTAAGTGACCCACTGAGAGCAACAAGAGGGTATCTGTGTAAGGGTTCATTCCCGAGGCTGCTGGAGCAGGGACTTTTTTTTTTTTTTTTTTTTTTTTTTTTTTTTTTTTTTTTAAAGAACATATTAAAAATCAACAATCTTAGTCTGATGCTGGCTCCAGGATTCCACATTTTGTCACTGCAAGCAGTTACTGTATCAAGTGCCATTGCTACATTTTCTTTCACCCACTGAGGGAATATTATACAGATTTCTTCCTTCGTTCCTGTTTATATCCATATGTCCCGATTTTATAGCTATATATATACACAGTGTATATATATGTATATATACACAGCATTCCAAACCTGTCCTGTTTTCTTTTTCTTTTCCTAACAGTATTTTAAATTAGCCTCCACAATTTCTTTGCATTTGTTTGCACTCTTAAGAACTCCTATTACATTTTGGAATTAATGTTTCATTTATTTATTAATTCAAGATTAGATTATCTTCTCCTATATGAAGTCTGTTTTGCAGAATCATTATCAAATGAATGCTGTCATTTTAAATACCAGAATACAAATAAATATTTTCATGAAAACTTTCTACCAAGCGAGGTTAAAAATAGAATTAAAACATGGCTATATTTGCAATTCCAAAATTCTGTTTAATCAGTGAAATGCATTCCCACATTTATGAGTAGATGTATATTAATATTTTCACTAATACTAAATGGTTTTATTATTTTTAAAACAAACTTTGACAACACATGCTTAGAGCTCAACGTATAACTTTAACATTTACTGTGTTAGGTATTGTTCTGTAAGATAGTATCATCTGTAGGATTCTTGTCAAAAACATCGTAATAATACTGGCCCAAGTCATTTCAGTTTTTCTTAGGTGAAAAAGAGACATAGTTAGGTGAAAAAAAGGTGAAAAAGGGACATTCTTAGGTGAAAAAGGGACATAATTGAAGGCACTAAACTCAATGCCTTTAAGATTTCACCAAAACTGATACCTATTTTTTAATAAAACCCTAGACCAGGAGTGACACAAAAGGCAGCTCCCTTCCCCAGCCTGTCCTGCTGCTGCCACAACAGCATCTTCCTCCCAGTAACCCAAACTGCTGAAGGGCTCTTTGCCCGTCTGCCTCCTTTCTTCTTCTGAATCACACAGGGGAGGGAGCATCCAGTTTTGGTAGCGTAGCAGAGCAGAGGACTAGCTCTACTACTAGTGGACTAGGAAAAGCACGCAGAGAACAACAACCAGGAAGAAAAACAGGGTAACAGTGCTTGCAGCAGCTCATGAAAGTTTTGTGGGCTGTCTGTG